AGCAAGTATTCGGCCCCCAAGGAAAAAGGGAAGACCGAATTTAACAAAATTCGGATAAAACTGGATTGACACGCCGTTCTGGGATTCCTTTAAAAACAAATGGTAATTCAACTCCAAAAATTCCAAAATTCGGATATATCCTATAAAACAACCTGATGAACATTTTTCATGAAGACACAAAACCCATTTCCAACGGAAAACACCTCTTTTTTCCACCATAATCCAGACAGAAAACAATCCATTCTGACAAGCCATCCGACCCCTAAAATACGTTTCAATCAGTACACAAAATTCGTTTTAAAGCTTTGAAATATTTATATGTCATAGCCACGGATGTCTCCAGCAAGTTTTGTTAATAAAGTATTTTTAAATTAGGTCTGGAAAAATTTATAAAAATTCGAACAGACCCGAAGGTCGGAGGGACAATGCTTCCGGCAGAATTTTTTTGGTCCGAAGATGGACTTCCGAATGGTCCAAAATGACTTCCAAAAATTCCCATATTAAATTATGTTGTACTACAAGATGTTTTGAGCAACTTCCATGAAGGACAAAACCCCATATTCGGCTCTCACAGGTCTCGGAAAAAATAGCAAAACTCGGCGACACAGCAGGGACGAAATCCGAGAACACATCCAACAACAACCAACACACAAACCAACATTTCCAGCCACCTAATCAACTATCTACAGCCACGAAATAGCCTCTAAATCACCTCATTTCACCATCTAAACATGTCTAAAAGTTGCCTAAAGTCCTAACATGAGTTTAGGGAAGACTTACCAAAAGTCTAAGCAAGGAAAAAATCCACGAAACTCCTCCTAGGGCTCACGGCAAGGGCAGGTTCCGACGGCAAAGAAGGTGGTCGGCGGCAACAAGGTGGCTGGTCGGCGGTGGCAAGGTGGAGCAAGAGGGAGGAGAGGGGAAGAATGGCGTGAGAGAGAGGGAGTGAGAGGGAGAGTGAATGAGAGAGAGAGATCTAGCATTTGGTGAAGCTTCCTCAAGAAGCTTGGTGTCTTGAAAAAGCAAGCTAGGAAGCTAAAGGGGATGGCTTGAGTGACACCTTGATGGAGAGGTGGAAAGACAAGAAGAGAGAGAGTGAGGTGATGGTGGCTAGGAAGTCAAGGGGAGGGCCCACAAAATCTCAAATTTGTCTTCTTAACCACAAATGCACATTAAGACTAAAGTGCACACTAAGCTAGGTTAAGAGGAGGAGGAAATTTAAATACTATACAAGCCTAAGGATGAGCATTAAATTGGGTACCAAGGAAATGTCCGATTCGCACACTTAATCTCCGATTCCGATTAATCTCGAGACGATCGCTAAGTTAAACTAACCGCGATGAGACGACGTCCAAAATATTTCGTCGTCGGAATTCTTAGATAATCGACGTCCTATTTCAAAGTCCAATTCGTGACTAAAGTTCGTGAATAGTAATTTCAGGGCGTCTCGAACTAACGGGCTGCTTTTAGGGTTTTACGTGTATCAACCCGCGATTAAAAATCACGTTTAAGAACTAATCGAATCATGGCGACTTGGTTGTCATGAAATTGTAAGGTCCACTCATTGGTTTCGAAGAACACGATCATTAGGATTTTGGTTTAGGTTAATTCGTAAATTACACTATGGTTAAACGGGATCACCCACGAACCAATCGTATAATGCTAGCCAATCATTCTCAAACCAAATCTTAGATCGACCTCTAATAACTCAAGATATTCCCTCAACAATCTTTATGGTCAAGCTATTAATCCACAGTCGAATTCTTTGGTCCACGGACTAATTCCTCGCTAGCCATTCCCTTTTGGTTAGTTAACTCAAGAGTGATCAATTCTGAGCGAGAATTACTGAAATACATTGATCGACATTTTATTCATTCATAGGCTTTGAAATGAGTCGAAAATTCAGAATGTCACAACTCTTCCCTCCTTACAAGAATTTCGTCCTCGAAATTCACAACAAAATCAACTAATCAAAAAGATGGGGGTGCTGACGTCTCATCGCTTCCTCGCTTTCCCAGGTTGCTCCTTCTGTCCCATGATGCTCCCAAATCACTTTGACCATCTGGATTATCTTATTCCGCAGCACTCGTTCCTTTCTGTCTTCGATCCTCATTGGTCTTTCCACGTACGATACCCTATCGTCCACGTCTATTTCTTCATAATTCAACACGTGGGTCGGATCCGGTTCATACTTCCTCAACATTGACACGTGGAATATATTATGCACTTGAGACAAATTCGGTGGCAAGGCGAGTCTATAGGCTAAATCTCCAATCCTTTCCAGAATTTCAAAGGGGCCTACGTACCTTGGACTTAACTTCCCTTTCTTGCCAAACCGAGACAACCCTATCATCGGCGACACCTTGAGGAAAACATGATCTCCCACCTGAAATTCCAAAGGCCTTCGTCTCCGATCCGCATAACTCTTTTGGCGACTTTGCGCGGTCTTGAGTCTCTCACGAATGATCTCAACCGCTTCAACTGATTGTTGCACTAATTCTGCGCCGGTTATACTCCGTTCTCCGACTTCGTCCCAACACATCGGCATTCTATAAGCCCAACCATATAATGCCTCAAATGGCACCATCCTGATACTCTGTTGATAGCTGTTATTGTAGGCAAACTCGACTAAATGCAACTATTTCTCCCATTTGCCTTGAAAGTCCAAAACACATGCCCGCAACATATCTTCTAAAGTCTGAATTGTCCTTTTAGACTGGCCATCTGTCTGCGGATGATAGGCCGTACTAAACTATAATTTTGCTCCCAATGCCGTCCGAAGACTTTTCCAAAAGCTAGCAGTAAACTTGGGATCACGGTCCGAGGTGATCGTCACTGGCACTCCATGCAGGCGAATTATCTGTCGTACATACAACTCGACATACCTTTCCAACGCAAAATCCTTTCGTACCGCCAAGAAGTGTGCTGACTTTGTCAATCTGTCAACTATCACCTAAATAGAATCATGGCATCTTTGGCTCCTTGGCAATCCAATGACAAAATCCATAGTAATATGTTCCCACTTCCAGTTGGGGATTTTCAAAGGTCGCAATAATCCTCCGGGCTTACAATATTGCACCTTTACTTGTTGGCATGTTAAGCACTTGGTCACATATTTGGCTACGTCCACCTTCATGCCATTCCACCAATAATGTTGTCACAGGTTCTGATACATCTCCGTGCTACCCGGATGAATGCTATAATTGTTACGGTGAGCTTCCGACAAGATTTCTTCCTTGAGCTCCGCATCATCGGGCACGCACAACCTCCCTCGAAACTTCAAGATCCCATCATCGGATACTTGGAAGTCCAGTTTTCTCTTGGTGGCATCCATCTCCAGTATCTTCTGGATTTCTTGGTCTTTAGATGCATAGCCTTAATCTTAGTCTGGATTTCCGGTTCAATCCTCAACGTTGCAAGTAGGCTCGATACATGGCTCACTTCAAACTTGAATTCCGAGTCTCGCACTCCTTGCAGTAAAGTCCATTCCTTAACCATCACACGCGTAATGCTTGATTTCCGACTTAATGCATCTGCTACCTTGTTAGCCTTTCCGGAGTGATATAAGATATCACAATCATAGTCCTTGAAGAGTTCCATCCAACGACGCTGTCTCATGTTTAACTCTTTCTGAGAAAACAAATACCCGAGACTCTGATGGTTCTTATAAATCTGGAATCTTTCACCACATAAATAATATCTCCAAATCTTCAGTGCAAAGATGATAGCTGCCAACTCTAAGTCATGCGTCGGGTAATTTATCTCATGCGGTCTTAACTATCGCGATGCGTAAGCAACAACTCTTCCATGCTGCATCAACACGCATCCTAACCCTTTTAGCGATGCGTCACTATAGATTTCATAACCTCCAGGTCCTGTTGGGATGGGCAATACTGGAGCAGTCGTCAGCCTATGCTTTAGTTCCTAAAAGCTCCTTTTGCACTTGTCGATCCATTCAAACTTGGTTTCTTTCTTAAGCAGGCGAGTCAACGGTGTTGCTATCGAGGAGAATCCTTCCACAAAGCATCAATAATAACCTGCCAATCCCAAGAAGCTTTGAATCTCTATTACTATCGTCGGTCTTGGCCATTTCATCACAGCTTCAATCTTTGCCGGATCTACTGAGATTCAATCCCCAGAGATTATGTGTCCAAGGAACGCCACTCAACTGAGCCAGAACTCACACTTACTAAACTTGACGTATAGTGCGTGCTCTCTTAAGGTCCGTAGAACTTCACTCAAATGGATCTCATGCTCCTCCGGGCTCTTCGAGTAAACCAATATGTCGTCTATGAAGACTATGACGAACCGATCCAAGAATTCCTTAAACACCCAATTCATTAGATCCATAAAGACAGCAGGGGCATTAGTTAATCCAAACGGCATCACTGTGAACTCATAATGTCCATATCTTGTCCGAAACGCCGTCTTTGGCACATCCTCCTTCTTAATCCTTAATTGGTGATACCCAGTCCTTAAATCGATCTTAGAAAACATCGATGCCCCTTGTAACTGATCGAACAGATTGTCTATCATTGGCAGTGGATACCTATTCTTGATAGTTACTTGGTTCAACTGTCTGTAGTCGATGCACAACCTTAAGGTTCCGTCCTTCTTCCTTATGAACAAAACTGGCGCTCCCCATGGAGACGCACTCGGACGAATGAAACCTTTGTCCAATAACTCTTGCATTTACACCTTTAACTCCTTTTAGCTCGGACAACGACATTCTATAAGGCGCCTTCGAGATTGGCTCAGTCCCAAGGGCCAACTCGATTACGAATTCCACTTCTCTTTCTGGTGGCAATCCCGGTAATTCCTGAGGAAAGACTTCGGAAAAATTGCGCACCACGGCTATCTCTTCCAACTTCGGATTTTCTGCCGTCGAATCAACTACAGATGCCAGAAACCCTTCGCATCCTTCGTCCAACAACTTAGTCACCTCAAGTGATGAAATCCAAGGGATCAAGGTTCCTCCTCGGTTTCTCACAAACTCGAATCTAGGGTGTCCAAGCTTTCTTTTTAACCAACCAATCAATTCCCACAATCACATCAAAATCAAACATAGGTAGGACTGCCAAATCTATCATTTCCTCTCTATCTCCAATCACCATCTTACAATCCGGGCATCCTAACGAGATCATTACTTTATCATTCAAAGGCGTGGTAACATATAGCATAACTTCTAGTAGATTCAGTTCAATTCCAGTCAATTTAACGAATTGCTCAGATATAAACGAATGCGACGCTTCCGGATTAAACAAAGCATATGCAGCATGATCACAGAGAGAGACCGTACCTATGACCACGCTAGGCGTGTCCTCAGCTTCCCTTCTTGCCATCGCATATACTCGCCCTTGAGCTGGCGGCCTATTCTTAATGGTCGACGGGGCAGCTCCCATCTGATTTCCATTCCGGGGCAGCTGCGGTAGCATAGGCAGCCTAGTCCGCCTATTGTTAGGACAGTCCCTCGCTTGGTGTCCCAATCCACCGTATCCAAAGCACGCTCCGCTCCTATTCTGGTAGTGATTCGGCTTCCCGATATTTTTCTTGACGGGAGGGACAAAGCGCCTATTCCCCGCCATCGACCTCTTGCCGAAGTGGCAGTTGTCCCTAGCTGAGGCATACCGCGATCCAGAGGCGGCAGCCCTTTCCTTCTGATCTCGCTCAATAGCCTGAGCCCGCTCATACAACTCATTATAGTCCCTTAGGTTCAGCGAAATCATCTGGCTGCGAAGGTCCGACTTCAATCCTTCTCGGAACCTCCGAGCCTTGTCCAACAGGTCCTCGACCATCCTCGGAGCATACTTGAACAATCTTGCAAACTCGGCCTCATACTAGTCCACTAACAGCTGGCCTTGGCGGAGTCTGAGAAATTCATTCATCTTTTGTTCCCGGGTACTCTCCGAGAAGTACTTGCCATTGAAGGCCTCCTTGAAAGCGGTCCAAGTTTGTGCTGTACCCATCGGGAACACCCTTCCACTGGTGGCCCTCCACCAATCACTGGCATTTCCCTAAAGCTGATACACTGCCAGGGTTACTTTCTCATCATCCGTGCATCCTAATACGGCAAAAGCCTTCTCTACCTCTTCCACCCAAATCGATATGACCTCGGGATCACCTTTCCCATCGAACTTCGGAGGCTTTAACTTCAAGAACTGCTCAACCAACTGATGCATCTATCTATTTACATTCCCTTGTCCTTGGCCTTGGCCCTGATTCCCATTTGCAGCAGCAGTTGCAGCGGCCTCAGTGGCCTGGGCTATAGTGGCAGCTCGCTCCTGAGCCTACCTTCCCATCAGATTTCCAATTTCTTCCAAGGCCCTTATCACCCCAGTTATCCGTGGGTCCTCCACATTTTGTGCTTGCGTACTCGACTAGCCCCTCGTCCCCATTCCTCTGCTCATCCTCGCGGTTCCTCACCACTCACCAACCTGCTATAATTCCACTAAGGAATTAGAGACATAGGCCAACTATACCAATCTAAAGCCCTAGGCAGTGAATCACATCATTAATTCGCACAGCAAGCAGTCAATCACAAACACACTAGATTATTGCCAACAGGGTTCGTGCACTTACCTCAATTCCTGACGCATCTGCAACTCAGTATTAGCACCACAAGTAACCCAGCACATCAAATAGACAACCATAAACAATGCCGAGTACGAAGCATCCCTAATTATGCCAATCACAAGCACCAATTCACATGTCATGCAATTCGTGCCTAACTCTAACGAATTCTTAAAGTCATCTCTCCTTATCACTCCATGTCTCAACCAACTTGGATCGAGCTGACCTTGCTCTGATACCAAATCAACGGGGATGTCACGCCCCGAACCATATGAGCACGATAACACCCCGTCTTTGCCGTCCCAATATAATTTCGAACCCAGGAACTACAGCACACTACTCAAGCGCTTAATAACGAATGCATGCGGAAGCAGAAACAACACCATACAGAAGAGATACACAAGATGACGAAAGGAATTCATAACATAATCAAAGCCAGTCAAATACAAAAGCGTACGACTAAGGAAAATACAGCAACATAGGTCGACGGAGGGGGAGAGGGTTACTAGCTCAAAACTACACTTGACACCGTACGAGGCTAGCAAAATAAAACAGATACTACTAATGCATCTAGACATCGAGCTCCTCTAGATCCTCCTCAGGGTCTTCCACGGGATCTTCCTCGGCAGCAGCAGGCTCCATGACTTGAGCGTCCATGACGGGAACCGGCAGAGACGGCTGACTCACCAGAGCGTAACAGGGAGGGTTGATCACCACACCATCCGGAGTCGGGGGTACGACACGCCCTAGGTTCACGCAAGTTGGCACCTCAAAACCTTGCAGGGGTCCAACGTCAATTCCATTCTCGCCTCAGTAGAACCATGCTTCGTAGAAGTGCAAGCTCAAATGCAGCTCCCCTTCATTAACTCATACTATAGTCCCTTTCTTGATATACGTCCTACCCTCGACCGGGGGTACTCGGTTTCCACCGTGTCAAAATCCAGAGGCACTCCAAAACGTATGGGCGGCATGCCTAAGGTCTAGGGTCTGAAAATGGTAAATCCCACGACGGGGTGAGAACGAATCTCATTAAGCCAAACCTAAACCTGCGCTAGGGCAAAAGCACGTCCAGACACTTAAATCATGCAATTCTATCTATGAACCTCGATATGGCTAGAGAATTAGTAAAACCACGGCACATCATCAATTACCTCGACCCAAGTACAAAGCAGTCTTCAATTCACAACCACACGCATCAAGGCAAGGCTTCGTACTAAAGGTATAAAAATCAATTCTACAACTCCCACGTGGTACCATCCCTCAAGTTCTCAAATCACGCTATCCAACCCTCACTACGCGCCTTAGCGCTCGGGCCATAGCATACTAGTCACAATATAATAGACAAGACCCCCCGCATTCTCACGGCTCACGAGCTATTCCACTGTCCAGATCCCCTACATATATATGGCTCACAGATCACACCAATCACAACGTAATAGACAAGATCCCCCCCCCCCCCCGCATTCACATGGCTCACGGGCTATTCCACTGTCCGGATCCCCCGCATATATACGGCTCGCGGATCACTCCACTATCTAGACCCCCCGCATATATATGGCTCACGGGTCATTCTCAATAAGTATATGTGACTCATTAATATACGAATTCCCCATGCACTCACATAGAACCGAGATCCTTATGATCCAACTTTGGTACTTAACAATCAATCACCAAAAGCCCACACAACCACGTGGCATTCAACTCAGTCTCCAAATCACCATAAAACACTCATGTTCAAGCACCAAACTCATTACCAAGGGCAGCAAGCATTCGGCCCCCAAGGAAAAAGGGAAGACCGAATTTAACAAAATTCGGATAAAACTGGGTTGATGCGCCGTTCTGGGATTACTTTTTAAAAAAATGGTAATTCAACTCCAAAAATTATGAAATTTGGATATGTCCTAGACAACATCCTGATGAAAATTTTCCATGAAGGACACAAAACCCATTTCCAACGGTAAACACCTATTTTTTCCACCACAATCCAGACAGAAAACAATCCATTCTGACAAGCCATCCGACCCCCAAAATACGTTTCAATCAGTACCCAAACCTCTTTATAAAGCTTTGAAATTTTTATATGTCATATCCACGGATGTCTCAAACAAGTTTTGTGAAGGAAGTATTTTGAAATTAAGTCTGAAAAAATTTATCAAAATTCGAACAGACCCGAAGGTCGGAGGGACAGTGCTTCCGGCAGAATTTTTTCGGTCCAAAGATGGACTTTCGAATGGCCCCAAATGACTTCCAAAAATTCCCATATTAAATTATGTTGTACTAAAAGATGTTTTGAGTAACTTCCATGAAGGACAAAACCCCAGATTCGGCTCTCAAAGGTCTCGGAAAAAATAGGAAAACTCGGCGACACAGCAGGGACAAAATCCGGGAACACATCCAACAACAACCAACACACAAACCAACATTTCCAGCCACCTAATCAACTATCTACAGCCACGAAATAGCCTCTAAATCACCTCATTTCACCATCTAAACATTTCTAAAAGTTGCCTAAAGTCCTAACATGAGTTTAGGGAAGACTTACCTAAAGTTTAAGCAAGGAAAAAATCCGCAAAACTCCTCCTAGGGCTCAAGGCAAGGGCTGGTTCCGGTGGCAAAGGAGGTGGTCGGCAGCAACAAGGTGGCTGGTCGGCGGCAGCAAGGTGGAGCAAGAGGGAGGAGAGGGGGAGAATGGCGTGAGAGAGAGGGAGTGAGAGGTAGAGTGAATGAGAGTGAGAGAGAGAGAGAGAGATCTAGCATTTGGTGAAGCTTCCTCAAGAAGCTTGGTGTCTTGGAAAAGCAAGCTAGGAAGCTAGAGGGGATGGCTTGAGTGACACCTTGATGGAGAGGTGGAAAGACAAGAAGAGAGAGAGTGAGGTGATGGTGGCTAGAAAGTCAAGGGGAGGGCCCACAAAATCTCAAACTTGTCTTCTTATCCACAAATCCACATTAAGATTAAAGTGCACACTAAGCTAGGTTAAGAGGAGGAGGAAGAGATCAAATTTAAATACTATACAAGCCTAAGGATGAGCATTAAATTGGGTACCAAGGAAATGTCCGATTCGCACACTTAATCTTCAATTCCGATTAATCTCGAGATGATCGCTAAGTTAAACTAACCGCGATGAGATGATGTCCAAAATATTTCGTCGTCAGAATTCTTAGATAATCGACGTCCTATTTTGAAGTCCAATTCGTGACCAAAGTTCGTGAATAGTAATTTCAGGGCATCTCGAACTAATGGGCGGCTTTTAGGGTTTTACGCGTATCGACCCGCGATTAAAAATCACGTTTAAGAACTAATCGAATCGTGGCGACTTGGTTGTCATGAAATTGTGAGGTCCACTCGTTGGTTTCGAAGAATACGATCGTTAGGATTTTGGTTTAGGTTAATTCGCAAATTACACTATGGTTAAACAGGATCACCCGCGAACCAATCGTATAACGCTAGCAAATCGTTCTCAAACCAAATCTTAGATCGGCCTCTAACAACTCGAGATATTCCCTCAACAATCTTTATGGTCAAGCTGTTAATCCACAGTCGAATTCTTTGGTCCACGTACTAATTCCTCGCTAGCCATTCCCTTTTGGTTAATTAACTCAAGAGTGATCAATTCTGAGCGAGAATTACTGAAATACATCGATCGACATTTTATTCATTCATAGGCTTCGAAATGAGTCAAAATTCAAAATGTCACACAAATCATCAAACCAAAACGAACCTCGGGATCTGCCTTTGTCTTCCACACATTCCAATTGTCTCACCCACTCAATCATATAACATTGATTGATTAATGGTTAATGATAATGAGCCACCATTTGTATTTGCAAAACGATGACTCATATCGGTTAACCCTAAAGTCGGGTTCTAAGTGATCACCGTAGGCTACCCCCGAACATGCACCGGGCCTAACATACATCTAGCAAGCACATGCAAATCAGTGGATACAACATTCATTTAGGCCCATGGGCCTTGTTTCTCACTCAATCAAACAATGAGAAGTGGGCCTCAAGAGAGAACCACTTATTCATTCATTATTGTTAAATTCGGTTCCATTATGTTTAAGTGTGATTAATTGACTTAATGAAGTTCAAATGAGGTGATCTAGGTGTCATTAGAAAAATAATTTCATGAAGACCATTTTTTCTAATACCCAACTTATTTACCCGAAAATTCAAATTTATCCTTGGGATGACAGACTGGACCAGGTTTTGATTTGAATTAAAA